TGATTTCAGAACTAAAAACCCAATAGAAATTCTGGAAGATAAACTCAAAGAAATCTGTCAGAACTGGAACAAAAGGCACACTAAGGAAGAAGAATAGAAGAGAAAGTGATTAGGATGATCAGTCTAGAAGATTTAATATTCTAGAACCAAACATATTAAATAGCAAGATTAAGGACGTGCAGAAGAGGAAAGAATCAAATAATCAACGAGGATTTTCCTGGAGTGGAAGATATTAGTTCCACAATGAAAACGGCCACCTGAATGATGACCACAACAAACAAATGGGCATTTCTCGACGCTATGGACATCTGGAGATAAAGACACTAACATTTCCATAAATGAATAAACATTTGCATATAAAGTCAGTATTTCTAGATTTCTCAGCAGCAACATTAAAAGATAGGGATAATGGAAGTGATTTCTAATCTAAATTCTATACTCAGTCAAATTATCAATTACATGGAAGAGTGGAATACAAGCACTGTCAGAGATGCAAAAGCTCATTAAATTGACCTCCCACTTGCCCTTCCTCAGGAAGGGCACACGCAAAGGGAGGAAATCAATCAAGAAAGAGCAGTGCATGGAAAACAGAAAATGAGAGATTTAGTTAAGAGTGACTGCTGTCCAGCAGACCTAGGCTACATCCTTAGATTGGAGGGTTGAAAGTTGTGTTTAATAAGAGGGCAGGGCTCCACATCTGTGAAAAATCTCTCTTTCTGGAATGAACAGATAGGCACAGTGAAAGGCAATGGATTCACACCGAGGTTGGCATATGAGTGAGGCAAAAACTGGAACGACAAAGAAGTATATTTCTAAGATGAAAGGCTACGGTGAGGACTTGTGTCCCTCTTGAAATCCTCTTTTGATTCACTCAGACTATGCACAAAATAAAACCAAATCTGGCTGAATAACCATCTGTCGAAAGCTGCCTAAGAAGCTGGAGATAAGAGTTGCCTCAGAGAGAGGTGGTTCTCAACCTTCCTCTTGCCGCAACCCTTTAATACAGTTCCTCGTGTGGGGGTGACCCCAACCAGAAAATTATTTTTATGGTTGCCTCTGCTTGCCACGAGTAACAGGTCTTGAGTGAGAAATGGGGTGGAAGGAACACGTGCCTGATCCTGTGATGATAAAATGTGGCCGGAGGTTAAGGGTGGCAGTGGGTGCTGAGAGAAAGGTCAGAGGGAAGCAGTTAGAGCTGACTCTTGGTTTTCGAGTCTGGACTAACCAATGTGAGGATGCTGAGTGGACGAAACGGACTTCAGAAGGGCAGAGACTGTCGAGGGGCAGGGGAAAGAGGAAGGAGTGGAAGGAGAGAGACATGGTTGGCTCTCTTCCCTTCAGACTAAACCTATCTTCTCTGCTGTTACTGTGCGTCTTATCATCCACAGCGTCTGGCCTTATAAAATGATGGGAAACTGGAAAATTCATTGCCAGATCCCCTGGAGAGCCACGCACTGTGGAGCTGAGGTTGTATCATGCAACAGATGATACGGTCCTTCAGCCTGCAACCAACCATAAGGCTTTGTTTTCTATAGTCAGAAACCACAAGAATGGGGCAGGGAGTGGGGGACAAGGGGTAGAAGGACTGATGTTTTAAGTAATTTCCTCAGCTCTGCCACTTCCTAAATTAGCAACCTTAGAGAAATCACTTTAATCTCTCTGGGCCCAGGTTTCCTCGTTAGCAAAGTGGACATAGCATCCCATTACCGACATCGTGAGGTTGTGGGGAGGGTAGAATGAGGTAGAGTTTACAGCTTAGAAGGTAGGGTTTACAGTATGGTGAACAGGCAGTATTTGTTAACTAGTACTTTCCTTGGGAAAGACCAGGTGGTCTGCGCCTGGAGAGATTCACAGCCTCAGAGACTCTCCATACTGTACACCGTCTATAGGGTCACTGGGAATCAGCATTGCCTCAATAGCAGTAAATTTGGTTTGGGTTTAACATCCTCTTTACATTTTGAGGGTTTTCTTTTCTCCGTAGTTGGAAAATACAGCAGATCAGTGAACTCAATATACAAAAGAGAGATGTTTTCATCAGATGCCATGTTAATGTTTTTGTTTGATTGTTAGGCCACAATATTGGAGACACTCTCTTCGCTCACTCACAGTGGATTGCAGCTCATAGCAACTCCCTCGGAGGATACGGGAGAGCCTTGGGGGTTCAAGGCTGCCACTCTTTGTGGGACTGGAAAGCCTCCTCTTTGGTGCCCAGGATCCATTGGTAAGTAGGTTAGATGCATCTCTGCCCTCATAGAGACTAATGGGTTTCCTCTTCAAAATGTACGGGAAGAGCGAGTTACAAGTCAGGCTGCTAACCACAAGGGGGTTGATAGTTCGAAACCACCAGGTTAATAGCTTGAAACCACGAGGTGCTCCATGGGGAGCGACCAGGCTGTCTGCTCCATAAAGCTCTACAGTCTGGGAAACCCACAAGGGCAGCTCTACTCTGACCTATGAGGTAGCTATGGGTCGGAATCGACTTGACCTCAGTGGGTTCCATTTTTCTTTATTCTCACATCGTGTGTGTGTGTGTGTGTGTGTGTGTGTGTGTGTGTGTGTATGCATTTTTTTTACAATCAAGGGCATATTTTAATAGGAAACTTTTGTTTAATGTCCATACATACACCGAACTAAAGCACAAAAGGCCACAAGTGGAAAAGAACGCATCTCCCCCTTAGCCCTTCACTTCCTGGTTGCTCTCAGTATCAACTACTTTTATTTCCTTTTGCTTCATTACTAAAATTCACATAGAGAAGCCTATCACGCCCTTTCCTAGACAATGGTTAGGCCTAGGGTGGAGGAGGGGATTTGTGATAATTCAGAGGTTCTAAAGCAGGGTGGCTGGAGAATGGGGCCATTGCAGACATGCTAAGAGAAGTGGAAGCAGAAAGTGTAGACTTTCTAATCAATTTAATAAACATTTATTGAGAAATACTCTATCTAGAACATATGAAGAACCAACAAGGTGCTTAGAATCTAATGAAGGCAGGGGAGACACACACATGGTGATATTATGCGGATGAGCATGGCTAGCACGGCCGTTCATAACCTTCCAGAGACCTTTAGAAATACCTCACATGAAAGGCCTGGCAAACTACTAGCGAAAACTCAGCCTCCTAAAACCAACAGTTCTATTTGGACACACATGGATTCACCATGAGTCAGATTCGACTCCATGGGCTAGAGTACTTTAGGTAGAATTAAAAAGAACAATTTCTTTATCTCATAGGGTTTCCCTTTTTATATAATTTCGGAAGATGTAAAAGGGAATGATCATTTCCATTAGGGTGAACACAGAGGCTTCCTGAAAGAAAAATCCTTTTATCTAGGCCTTGGATAGTTGGAGGAATTCAAGACCCAAGCCCATAAACTCCTTGTCTCTAACTTTAACATCGTGATTTAGATTTGTAAATGCACTGTGCAAATGCAGGGGCCCAATATCTATGGATGAGCCTTTTTTTTTTTCTTCTAGACCAATTTCTCTGCCCAAAGGGCTTCCTTCTTCACCTGTCAGTAGGATGATTAATTCCATCTATCCTAAGCTTTGATGGAATCTGGTGAAGCTTAAGGTGACCCTAATCTGGGGCCTGGGGAGGGAAGGAGAACTCAGTTCATGTCTCTCTGCCAGAGAGGTGGGTTGATGTCTCCTTTAGAACTCCTCCTTCATGCCTACTCCTCCCTTTTCCTCCTCGTATTTATGGACCTGCCACATCTACAATGTTTCCCTCTGGCCCAGTTCCCCTGAAAAACACCAAGCTTCAGCTTCTGGAGGCCTTCTGGAATGTACCGGGTGGAGGAAATCGAATAGCCCATAGAAATGAGTTAGGAAGCCTTGCTTTTAAGGGGGCATCTAAGGAATGGAAGAGCCTCAATTTGGACGGAGCCAAATGGAGCTCCAGGCAAGCAGAGAAACAACCCTATGAAGAAGAATCTGTTTGGTGAAAATGAGGTTTTGTTGTTGTTTTCCTGAAATGCACAAGTGTCAGGGCTTCCTAACTCATTTCTATGGGACTATTCTCTTTATCTCCTATATCGTTTTACTCCTGTTTCTTTGAGAAGACATAAATTCACTAGCTCTATACTAGGTCAATCTATTTCTCCTTAGGATATCCAGGATAAGGACACCTCTGGGTGATTTTGACCCTGGCTCTTCATATCCACCTTCTAGCTTTCTCTCTCTACTGTTATTTAAAAGAATCCTGACCTAAGCCTCCCTCTGTCTATCCTATTCTCAAGATAGCTCTCTCTTCCCCGGCTCTGCTGCCAGTCACATCAAACACCACAGAGACTCGGTGGCATCCAACTGTCACCCATTCTCAGGGAAACTGCAGACGGCCCTAAGCCCAGTTGGGTAAGACTGCTCATCTGTTGGTTGGTACAAGGCTTCACGAGCATCTCTGTTGGTTAAAATATTTGGTGTTTTTCACCTTCTTTTTGAGTATTGTGATCTCTCTATTGACTTGCACCCTTGCTCCAAATCATTGTCTCAGCCATTTTTTATTGAGAAGAGAAACAGGCCTGAGTGTGCACACTGCTCTCCTGTAGGATTCACCACTTTTCACCATGGTTTTTAAGTAACGTCTTTGGCATGGGGACTCCCCTCGATCTTAGCATCAGTCCACATGGAAAAGGTCCCAGGATCTAGAGTTGCTTCTATCTTTGTCTCTTTAAGTTTCCCCAATATGAGTTGGCCTGTTCATTACTGCCAGCACCCTTTGCTCACTAACAAGGGAATGAGCCATCCTGAGCAGGCAGACTTTTCTCCAGGGCATAGTGATTGTCTTATTATCAAACAGGTTTCTTTGTATCTATAAATATTAATATCACAGCCTCAAAGTCATAAAATATATAACGTCCATCCAGACTGAACAGGTCGCGCTGTTCAGTCCCAGGGAGAGGAGAGGAGGTACCACCTGAAAATTCAGGGCCAGTGGAAGTCAGGATTCCAGGGACTGGGAGTGCTTCATAAAAAGCATCATTTCTAAAACTAAGACAAACAGTTAGATTTGCAACAGGAGGCAATGATCCCAAACTTTATTTCTGGACTAGGAATCACCATTCTAGTGGGTTTAGCTCACAAGTATGTGCTGAGAGGAAAAGAAACAGTTATTAGCTCTTGGCATTGAGAATGGAGCTGGCACAAAAAGAAGGCTTTCTTCTGGGCAGGTTTAGAAAGCTAACAAAGAGATTGGCTAGATACATATAGAAGAAATGGTATGACATGTATATTCTCTTTACTAAAAATGTGTAACACTTTTATCTTCTGAAGAAGGTGTCTTCAAGCTGTTAACATCAGACTGGGTTTCTTCATCAGACTTTTTCATCGTATGGTCTTCTTCTCTGGAAAAATTAAAAATAATTGATTAGGTAAGATTTCATAGCCATGCCTATTTCATAGCTATTTCTAAATGTCAGTGATATGGCAGAATATTTATCATTGCATCAGAGTTGGAACAAGAAAGTGTTGACGACAGAGGTGGGTGGGGGGCAGGAGGAAAGACTCATAGCCTATACTGTGTTCAAGATTCAATTGAACAATACTGTGTTCAATAACTTGCTTCAATAACTACTCTTGATTTTGTCTGTCCCTTCCTCTGTCTCTCCCTGCTGATTTCTTCTGAAGACTGTTCTAAACCCTTCAAGAATGGCATCTGACAGGGCAGGCAGGATCTCAGCTTACCATCCCAGACACCTGGAAATAGTCTTGGAAAGCTAGAGACACAGTGGCTGGTGTGTACCGATGAGTGTTGGGCTGTCTGGTGTCCTTGAACTACTACTTTGTTTTGGTATTCAGACTTCTGGATGAAGGTCTCACTGACCTTGTGACCACATGGCCAGAGCTTATGAGCCCAATTCCTCAGAGCGGTTGGGGATGCGGAACATCTAAGTGCATCCTGTTGTGAAAGGAATGATCACCTGAAACCTTTATGCATGCATGCATCACATATCGGTTGAGCACCGATCCTGTGTCAGGCACTGTGTTGGGTGTTGACAGAACAATCATGACTTAACTGTTATGGTCCTGTTATCAGGAGCGACCATTCTCCGGAGAAAGACACCGTAATCGGTGACGTGGATGGGCAGCGGAAAAAGAGGCAGGCCCGCAACAAGATGGACTGGCACAGTGGCTGTAACAAGGAGCTCGGCCATGAGAACACTTGCGAGGATGGCCCAGGTCCAAGTGGTGTCGGTTTTGTACATCGGTTTGTTATGCGCCAGAACCAACTCCACGGCACCTCACAACCACCGCAGCAGTTTAGGGAGTCTAACGGGCCCACATAAAACCAAACTAAAAGGACAACCCACCTGCATACGTAGATGTATCCCATGATCAGTGGTATGTACTTACAGGGATCCACATGACATTATAACAGAGGGCTATCAACTAGTTTGAGAAGAATGCTTTAGAAAGTGCTGCTGCAGCTAAGATTTGAAGAAAAAGTAGAAATGAACTGGGTGAAGAAGTGGTTGGAGAACAGTCCAAACAGAGGACCCGGCAGATGTGGACACAGAGGTGGGAGGAAGCATGCTATAAGCAACCCTTCTCTCATACATTATCCATAGCTGAAGAGACGTCCTCATTTACATGGTGAGGGGCTTCGACAAGTTCATGGGAGAATTCCATAATCTTTTCACTCCCCACTTCCCTCCAACCTTTTGAAGCCTCCTCATTGTATGTACGAGGATGTCCACTCAGCTAGGCTTGGCAGTGCTGTTGCTCTGTATAATAAGACACACTACGATGCACCATCAACAGAGCAAATGTCTTCCAGGAACCTAGAGTTCAGGTTAGGTGAACTCACCCCATCAGACCCAATTTTCAGTTGACAGTAACTGAGTTTGCTTTGTCTCTTGGACTGAAGCATCCAACATCCTGCCATCCATTTATAGGCAGGTCCTTTCCACCCCGTTCTAACTACCCTTGCGTCCCTCTTGTTTTGCATTAGTTCATGGCTACTGAGGTCTCAACATGCCTCAGGCTCAAGCCTACCCATGTTATAGAACAGCCGTTCTCAACCTGTGGGTCCAGACCCCTTTGGGGGTCAAATGACCCTTTTACAGGGGTTGCCTGATTCATAACAGTTGCAAAAATTGCAGTTAAGAAGTAGCAACAAAAATAATTTTATGGTTGGGGGGTCACCACACATGAGGAACTGTATGAGAGGGTCACAGCATTCGAAAGGTTGAGAACCTCTGTTCTAGAAGCTCTGGGGATCATAGCTCTTTGGACAACTCTGTAGGATCAGGACTCACCTTTGCTTGAACTTTGCATTCTCTTTCTTCTCCATTTTGATGGTTTCTGCAAGAGATTTTTCAACATTTCAGAAGATGGATTGTCCATAGATAGTAAGAGAAGAGAGTCTGAAGTAGTTTCGAAGCCCAAGTACTGGAGAGAAAACTTGTTGATCCCCTTACATGTGGAACAGGGTGTTCTTAAATTACACAATATTAGGGGGACAGGGAAGAAAACCCTTACATCCCAAAAGTAAATAAACGTTCTCCTAATTCCTGGGTCTTAAGTTGTCGTCCTAGCAATATGTTTTACATTTAAACTTCTATCCTGGGCTACAGTAAAAATACCATTAGGAAGGATAATAGGTTCAGTTTTAGCAGCCATTCAGGAACTGGAAAAAACCCTTCTGATTCTTTTCTGAGAGCACGATTTAGAAGGAGGGAAAGGAAATGTTGTTGCTGTCCGTGTCTAAATGGGCTGTCCAGCTGGTGTTACCAAGTACAGCACAATGCTGCTCAGGCTGGGCCAAGGGGTGTCACTGCCTTTAGGTCGACTGGAAAGGGCTACTGTCCTTCTCAGAGCCTTGTTAACCTGCTTGGCCACGCGGGAATTCAGGGCTGCCTGCCGGAAAACTCTCAACATAACCCTGATGGTTTTGTGAATCAGTTTTTGATATTGGAGGCTTCTTGAACATTTCCTATAATTGGCAGTGTGTGTGTGTGTGTGTGTGTGTACCAGTTCACAAGAGGGATGGAAAAAGTTTGTGGGAAATGGAGTTGAAAGACAATGGGATTTTTCCAGGAACTTTTTAAAGCTCCTTTGTAATTCATTGTGATATATATGTGTGCATGTAAGGTTGGGGACTGTGGGTAGTGCCAATGGTTAGCGTATTTGGCTACTGACAAAGGGTTGGAGGTCTGAGCCCACTCAGTGGCCTTGGAAGAAAGGCCTGGCAATCTACTTCCAAAATAGGCATCCCTGGAACCCTGTGGAACACAGTAGTACTCCGACACACCGGGGTCTCCATAACTGCCGTTGGCTTGCTAGTAACTTGTGTTGGCGTGTGTCGGTACGTGCATACAAAATATATCCCATTATCTTTTCATTCCATCTTTCATGAACTTTTCAAAGTTCCTTCAGTGTATATGTAGTCAGCTTTATTGAGGTATAATCACTGTACTATCAAATCCAATCATTTTCAGTACAGTGAACCCTCGCCACTTCGCGCTTCGACTTCCGTGGCTTCACTCTATCGCGGTTTTTGCGAAACAGTGCATGCTCTGTCATTACTGCCACTGATTGGCTCATACTGTACACGCTTGATGCCATAAGTAATATAATAAATAATAAATGATAATTGTAACGTCCAAAATGTTTTACTGTATTTTCCCTTTTTCGTTTAATAAATTGGGTAATATGAGTGTAATGGTGACTAAAGGGTGTTTTTTCATGTCCTCTATGCTCTAACTACGAAAATATTTGATTTACAAATAAGGAATCCTACTTCGCGGAATTTCATTTATCACGGTAGGGTTTAGAACCGATTAACCGCGATAAACGAGGGTTCACTGTATATTGGTATGCAGAAAGACAGTTGCTTTTCATTTTATATTGATCTTGTATGCAGACTTTGGTACACTAATATGGAGCTAGTAGCTTTTAATAGATTCCTCAGATTTTTTCTACAAGCACAATCATGCCATTTATAAAAATAAGCAGGTTAACATCTTCTTTTACAATGTGCCTTTTATTTCCTTTTCTAGCTCTTTTGCACCGGTTAGGTTGCTTAGTACATTTCTGAACAGAAACTCTGAGAGTAGACATTTTTGCTTATTGCTGCTCTTAATGGGAAAACATTCAGTCTTGTTTTATTAAATACAACCTTAACTATAACACTTTTGTATATGTTCTTTATCAAGTTGAGGAAGTTCTCTTAAAGTCCTAGTTTTCTGAGAGTTTTTTCTTTTCTTTTTGTAAAATTATCAGAGGGTGTTACGTACTTTTGCAAATACTTTCTCTGTAACCATGGGAATGATCTCATGGCTCTTCTGTTTTAGTCTGTTAATGTGGTGGATTTTATTGCTTAATTTTTTAATGTTGAACCTACCTTACACTTCTAGGTTAAACTCCAGTTGATCATAACGCACTATAGTTTTAAGAAATGGCTAGCTCTACGTTGTTAATTTTGGTAAGGATTTTGGCATTTATGTTCACATAGAATGCTTATAATTCTCAAATGATATCTTTTTTCTGTAGTATCAGAGCTCCCCCTAGCCACAGAACAGGCTATAAACTGACCACAGACACCATCGGGCTCAATTCACTCTTTCTTATCTCTCGGTGGACACAGTCGTCTGCCACTGATTGTCCAAGGTCTAAGTTATTTAATGTATTTTGCCTGTTTTCTTGTTGTTTATGGCAGGAAGCAGGGGAAGGATTCCCTTAACTGCTAATTTTTTTTTTAATTTTTTAAACATTTTATTAGGGGCTCATACAACTGTTATCCCAATCCATACACACATCAATTGTGTAAAGCGTATTTGTACATCATTTCTCAAAACATTTTCTCTCCATTTAAACCCCCGACATTAGGTCCTCATTTTTCCCCTCCCTCCCCGCTCCCCTCTCCCACATGAGCCCTTGATAGTTTATAAACTGCTAATTTTTTATAGGTGGAAGCAAACACTGTATTTCTTCTCTATAATGTTCAAAGAGTTTCATTGTTAGAAAACTCCTTCTTTCCGTAGTATCTCTTAAAATGATCATTTGCTGATAAGCCCTTTACTTTCACACAGATTAAGTATGATCTTTGTATCATGTGGCAGCTCTTTGGATATTGGAAGATAGCCCTCTTGTCCCCCTAAGGCTTCTTCTTAAATTAAGCAACCTCAGTTCCTTGAGCTACCATATTTCGCATTTGACCAAGCTTCCAGACACTTTATATATCTAGGTAGGCTTTATTTCTGTGTAAGTTCTTTTTAAAACTTATGTAGCCTACAGCTGTTTACAGCTTCCTAGGTGGCACCAACTATTTACATTCCACTATTGATCTAAAAGTTAGCATCTTAAGCCCACCTAACCATCCACGGGGAAAAGGCCCAATGGTCTACTCCCATTCGCTGAGAAAACTCTCTGGGGCAACTCTGCTCTGTGACACCTGGGGATGCCAGGAGTTGGAATTGATTTGATGGCAATGGGTTGGCCTTTTGGTTTTATATCTAAGTACGTTATATCAGATGTCGCTACCATTCTAGTTATTCTTTCATCCCTATAACAAACAATGGTGATTCAGTAGTCTTTCATACCTGCAGCAAAATCTTTGTCATTAAAAAAAAAGTCTATTGTAAAAGGAAAGCAGACAATAAAAACCCACATCTTGCACTTTTGTTCTCCAGATGTAGCATTCTGAAGGGCAGTTTGATGAAATCATCCACTTTCAATTTTTATGGAAAAGACACTTGCCCTTTTAGAAAGTTTGTTCAAATGAGGCAAGTTTTAAAGTTTGTTAGTTGTTGGGCACTTTTGCCCACAGATTCCAATCAGAGAAGACCCAAATGAAGAAGTAAAATTTCAGAAGAGATGCTATTTTAGTCTTTCTCCCCAGTGGGTGAACTTAGAGCATAGCTTCTGATTAGAAAAGAGAGTAATTCCAGGTTTCAAGTTCTCATGTCTTATCTTCCCTGTTTGGCAAAGCGAGACTAAAGAAGAGAATAACCGTGGCATTTCCCTTTTACTCACGCTAACAACCTAAACAGGACAAGTCTGTATGGCAGAGGTATAGAACTATACTTAGTGCATAGACAGCGAAAAGGAATTTTAATGCCAAGTTAGCTTGAGGGTTATCTTAATGGCTAAAGGGTTAATATTAGGAGGAGCTCCAATTTGGTGAAAGTCCCTACGGGTTACTAGTGAATGTGTGTCTGTGGGTGGATCATCACTGCTTCATGTCTGTGTGTTGGCAAAATCCAGTTCCTTGCAATTATGGGATGGAGAGCACTGTTTTCTTTCAACTTTTTGTCGTGAATTAGGTGAAGGACTACAAAGCAAACCGTTTTCCATTCAACAATTCATACACATTTTGTGATCCCACTTCTCCTCTGTATTTCCGATTTCTAGTCGTCCTTTCTTAACCTTTCTAAACTTTGTTGTTTGCCAAATGCTACCATTCTGACTCCTTGATTATTCCAAGGAGTGCCTCCCTCCCTGCCGCCTGAGGGGCAGCCTAGGTTCTAAAGGTTGCTCACATTCCTTGGCTCATCCTCCATCTTCAAAGGCAGACATGGTGGATTAAGGCTCTCAGGCTGCAGCTTTCTTCTCCTTCTTCTGTCTCGCTGTCCTAATCCACTCATGCAATTAGGTTGGGCCTACTGAAATAATCCAGTATAATTTTATCAACCCAAAATCCAATGCACTTAATTATATTTGCAAAGTCTCCTTTGTCATGGAAGATAACACATCCACACGTTTTGAGGATTAGGACATGGATATCTTAGGGAGAGGGCACTAATTATTCTGCTTGCCAAGTAGCTAATGCCAGAAGCATCCAGAAAGCAAGGAGAGAACTGCTGAAATTTCAGAATCCAAATTTACAATCATCTCATATTTGTAAGGAGGCTTAAAAAGTCCACGGAAAAATAGAATTACAAGATAATGGGGTTTTCTACAGACTTTTTGCAATGCAGTGGCTTATTTAATATAGCTTTTGTAGCTGTAGTCTGTTACTCCCTTCAAAACGACCTTGATTTTCTTGATGGGACTGGGTAAGAAAGTGAGGGAAATAGGTTGTTGGATTCTATGATTAATCTGTGAGTGATTGTTAACAGAGTTCATTGTCATTGCCATCCTGGTAGGTAGGCAATGAGCCACCTCAGAAAGAGGATCGGGGAAATCTCACCACTAGCAAGAGAAAAGAATAATGAGTTGAGCACATCCTTTGGACTCTGAGAGCCCTGCACATGGAACCTCCTTGATCCAGGACACAGTTTTGACACCAGAGGAGTGGAGTGGCAAAATAGCAGCAACAGCAGAAACGCAAGCCAGAGTATGAGACAAAGCAGTGGACTTCC